TTTAGTTGATCCAATTAATTGACTTTGACATTTAGTTGATCCAATTAATTGACTTTAGTTGAAGGTTAAGGTAAGGTATGTGAAAAGGTAAAAGGTGAGGACCGATATTGCAATTATCCATAATTTTAAATAAAAATAGGAGAAATAATTATTTTAAATCAAATTGCCTTTTTAAGAAGTATAGTATGCTTTCGTTGAGAGTCGAACTGAAGACCTCTTGCTTACTAAACAAGTGCTCTAAGCGAGCTAAGAAAGTTATCGATACATTAAAAATAAGGGTGCATTTTATTGCAAATATAGAAAGAAAATAAATTCTAGATAATTTGGTTGTCTATAATTAATTTGCATGAAAATTATCAATTAAATGTGTTTGATTATTTTAATTTTCACCATAAAAAAAATATACTTATTACCTCTCGTTACACGTGGCTCTACATTGTGATCCATTGTAGCCCTTAGCCTACTCAACTCGAAGTACATTGCATAGTGGTCGAGGTCTCGAAGCCAATGAGAAATGCAATGAAGTCAACGCTTCAACCGAGACTCAACATCATGAAGTTCGAAAACCATTGACCAGGTGGGCAAGTCTGAGGCCCCTATGTCGAAGCGCCGATGAAGAATGCAATGCAGTCAACGCTTCAACCGAGACTTAGCATCATGAAGTCCGAAGACCATAGACCAGATGGGCAAGTCCGAGGCCCTATGCTGAAGCTTAAGCCTTCGAAGCACCTTATTATATCATATTCTTCCAAGAGATCTGTTTTTCACGAGTATTTTTTTCGAATGACTGATGAGACGTTTATCATAGAGTTTAAGTGTCAAATCTTATCAAATGAAGTGTGCGGCTCTGTACAGTTAATAAATGCATAGTAGGCTAGCAAATTAAAAGTGATGCCTATGATTAGATATGTGAATTAAAGAGATGAGATCGCGTGTACTCCTATCCAAGGATCGCTATTCAATTTGTACCACTATAAATACTTTTCCATATAACTCCTGTAGGACTAATGCAACTTTAAATACAAAAACACTACATATCATTTTACTCTCTTGCAAATGCAACCGAGTTTACATAACATTCATTTGCTTCAATTGGTAATTATGGTATGATCATCCTAAAAACGTTTTACTGGATTTCGAACTTTATCCTCTCATGTTGAAGAGCTACTCCCACACCTTGTCCTTTAAAGGGTTCGTGACCGTCGGTTTGTTGTAGAGTGTTGGAATTAGCTCACGTGTACGCGAGTGAAATTGACATCTGTTGTCTGCGTGACTCTAACTTAAAACGAGGTCAATAGGACTTATCCAATTTTTATTGGTGAATAAATGAAAAAGAGTGGATAAATAAGAGAAAGAGAATTCCCTAGAAAATAAAATGCCACTCTCCCTAAATAAATAATGTCGCGTGATCAAAAGTAGAAAAATGTTTTATATGGAAAAAAGTTAGTCAAACAGCACAAAAGTAGACAATTTAGTGAAAAAAACACATTTTTCATGAAAAATATTGACAATCAAACGCACCTAAGTTAATTTTTAAAATCAATTAATTAGTCAACATTATCTATAGCTTAGCAAACACGGTCTTCTTAGAGAGTGCCGGTCCAACAAGCCACGATTCCACATGATCCACCGAACTCACTTTCCGTTACTAGAGTCTCTTTCTGGGTTCCAATCCACTGAATTTGATTCTGTTCATATTAATCACTCGAATCACTAGCTTCTCAAATTTTGAAGTTAAATACTAATCGATTATGGATAGTGAAAACGCATCTCGGAGCCCCGAGTTTCCGGCGGACTTGAAGTATCAATCGGGCTTCGGGAACCATTTCTCGTCGGAGGCTATCGCCGGAGCTCTCCCTCTCAATCAGAACAGTCCTCTCGTCTGTCCTTACGGCCTCTACGCGGAGCAGATCTCCGGCACCTCCTTCACTTCCCCTCGCAAACTCAACCAGCGCAGGTTAATGCTTTGAAGAATCTATCTGTTTAAATTTTTGATGATTTTGAATGTGATCTATTCTGAGAAATTTTTGTTTTGGCAGTTGGTTATATCGGGTTAAGCCATCAGTTACTCATGAGCCATTTAAGCCTAGGGTCCCCAGTCACGGGAAGCTTGTGAGTGAATTTAATGAATCAAATAGTTCTGCAACTCCAACTCAGCTACGGTGGAAACCGGTGGAAGTTCCTAAAGCGCCGATTGATTTCATTGACGGATTATACACTCTTTGTGGCGCTGGCAGCTCGTATCTTCGGCATGGTTTTGCAATTCACATGTAATTGGTATTCCTGGTTTTACTTTACTGTTTTGCGATTTCGTGCAATCGTATTAAAACAAATTTGAGGTTATTAGGTGTATAGAGGTCAACTTTTATTTTAAATTTATCAACTTTATGTTCCATTAATCAACTATTCCATAGACTAAGATTTTTTTCCCTATTGCATCACATAGTTGTTGTGTATTTCCATTATTTTGTTATGGGCACAGATGATAGTCTTCAATCAAGTTCTGTTATGGCCTTGTGGCCAAAGGAAGTCCTATAAGCATGGGACTGGTTTATGTCTTAGCAGCCAACCTTGCGTAGAAAGCTATTAGCTCAAACCATTGTGCCGTATGTCCATCCATATCCATCTAATGTTATCAGTTAATGATTTTTTGATTTTAGACTTCATTTATTCTATTCTGGTC